GAACACTGACTCCAAATCCCCACCCCAACCAGCCAGTATGAGTTCAAGTAATATAAAGGAAGTAAAGCAAGAAGGGATCTCCAAATACTTTGTGAAAAACACTCTGAATTACATTTGTATGCTAACCAACTCTAAGCTAAGCAGACTGGCTGCATGCAACCCACTGCTGACACCCAGAGGAAGCAGTGTTCGCCTCTGATTTTCTCTTCTCAATTCTGTAGCTTTAAGTCAAGGATTTTATTGGGGGCAAAAAAAAAAGAAAGATCAAAACAATGAGATAATACACTGGGATAAAAGACACCCACTAGAGTTCAAAAGCACTTAAAATTATCTCTGTTTTCCCATCTTATATTTAAATTCAATAGGGAACAATTACACTAAACAAGCTCTCCCCACAGAAACATTCTGGCAGTTTCTGAATGTCAACAGTATCTATTCCATAAGCTAGTGTGCAAATAAACTGAAAATGTTAAGATAAATCTCCCAATGTAAATTTCCATGCTTTATACAGCAGGGTCCTACACAAGTTTATATGTAATTGTTCAAATCCATATAAAGTTAACATCAGTGGAAGTAACAGTTGAGCTGTTTCTAATTTAATGTTACAGTATCATGAAAAGAATCTGAAACATCTATACATCTACATGGTTCATCTATTTCAGAGAACTGCACAAATTAGTTCTTTATCATTCTGGTCCAGTAAAATATGTGACAGGGTGAAAAGAGCTAAAAGAGTATTAGCAAAACGCATTAGCATCCGGTTTTTTGTATGCTCTTTGTATCTACATTTCCACAGAATAGAAAAACAAATTATTTACCAACACCCACTGAATACACAATCACAAATATTGTTGTTCCAGTCTGGTTTCCAAACACTGGGCCTACTGTCACTGATGGAAACACCCACAGACTAGAGACCACGGCAGAGAGGGAGGCGGAGCAGGGCTTAACTGACTTACACTTCATCTAGAAGAGTCTCAGCTGATGGAAGATTATTCTTTTCAAATCTTAAAAAGTCAAGGTACACAGGGCATATGATAAAGAAATCAAGTTGTATAGTTTCAGACAGGGAAAGTTCTATAGCAAAAATCGCATAAAATTCTAAAGTAAACTATACATTCTTCATTCACCATCTGTGATTCTGGATATCTAAGCAGGGTTAGCAAACTATGGGCTGTGGGCCAAACTGGCCTGCTATCTGTGTTTGTATGGCCTATGAGCTAAGAATGGTGTTCACAGTACTAAATGGTACTTCAAAATCAAAAGAAAGATACTATTTCTTGGCATGTGACACAGGGTAATTGTAAGAAAATCAAATCTGAGTGTCCATAAATAGGGTTTTACCAGCACACAACCTCTCCCATTTATTTGTGTACTGTCTGTGGCTACTCTTGAATGGCAGAGTAGTTCTGATAGAGATTAAACGGCCAAGAATATGTAAAATATTTACTATAAGACCCATTCAGAAAAAAATATGCTAATTCCTGATCTAATCTATTCCTTCCCTGCCTCTTACCATGAAAAGCTAAGATCTGGTTTTAGTTCAAGCATGAACAGCCAAACCAAAGATCCATCATCCAGAATAGTGAGAGAGTGAAAAAGATGCCATTCTGGGTTTTTTAGGGATGCAAGTCTTTCTCTGTACCCCATCCATCTGCTATCTTGACAGCTAGACAAGGTGGCCCACTACCCAGCACCTCCCATCACCTTCACCTAACCCCCAGAGCCCACACGAACCTCTTTGGGACATCAATGTTCCTGGAGACGGGTCTGTAAGCTGGCACCTGGGCTCCCTGCTCCGTGGGTGGCACCTGGGGGACAGCGCCCTGCAGCTCTGAGAGCCACAGCTCCTCCGCTCGGCAGCAGACCTGTAACTTCTGGTCCAACAGCCAGACTGTCACCTTATCTTCTGCCCAGCTGTGCTGCTCCACCAGTCCTGTGCATTCTTGACCCCCATACCACACATAAACCTGCGAAGGGGGGTGGGGGGGAACACCAACAGCGGTCAGCACTAGACAGTTCTTACCTTCAGAGGGTTCATCTGCCCCAACTTCCAGGGGTCAAGACCTGCCTGCCACAAGCTGCTTCTGTAACACACTCATCTTTAAATCAGCTCCCACTGCTGACCCTCCAGCACATTTTCAGAGGCCGTAAATCACATAGGAGGAAATTACTCACCTTCCTCCACTGAGCAGCTGGTGAGCTCAAATCACCTGCTTTTGGCGCTGGCAGTGTAACGCCTTACCACTAGGTCACCAGCACTCCTTTAATTCAGCCGGATGATCCCAATTACCTACTTCCCAGATAAACACCACTCTAGCCAAACGGGATCAATTCTTTGAAAAACAGGTCCTTATAAACTCTCCAGACTAGAGACAGTGAATACTCAGTTTCTAGGGATTTTACTTGAATTTACAATCTCTATCTATTCTACATAATTTCTTGCCCTGCCTCAACTCTGATGTTCCTGAAAATCTGCTGATTCCCAACTACTGCCTCGAATTGCTCAAACCCTGCATTTTTCCCAGCAGGGAATTCCAAGTCGTCCTGGGGCAACAGGTGGGAGTGAAGAGGTAGAATTGAGCTCTCTGCAAGGACACATGGGTGAGGGCAGCACACCCTGCTTTGTGAGAAGAGAGCCCGGAGGATGTAGCCCCAGGGTGGGAAGACAGAAGTTAGTCTCTACTGCAGAGAAGGGGGTGAAGGAGAGCTACCTGCACCTAGATCTCATGCTAATATCAGGTACAGATGATGGCTAGGCCCTGCCTCTCTCTCACTGCCATGGAGTTGGAACTGATTCATAGCTGATCCTCCAGCAGATTTTTCAGAGGCTGTAAATGACACAGGACGAGACATCCCATTTTTCTGCCATGGAATAATCAGGGGACCCAAACTACCTGCCTTTGGGTTGGCAGTGCAATTCCTTATCCACTAGGCCACCAGAGCTCCCTGGGCTCTGCCACACAGCAAAAAACAAAAAACAACCAAAAAACCCCCTGAATTCTAAATAAAGAAACATTATCTTTAGAAAACATCTAATGACAATTCAAAGATTCAATTTTAGTTGTCTCTTTTAAGTCTGAAATTTCCCTAGTTCTATAGAGTGGCACATGCATTCACTGCCACAGAATCCCTTCTGACTCACAGGGGCCCCCACCCACCAGGTTTCTGAGGCTGTAAACCATAGAAGGAGGCGATCTCTTGGAGCTGCTGGTGGATCCAAACCTCCACAGACACTTGACCTTTGAGTTAGCAACTGAATTTGCTATAGAGTACACCATCAGAGCTCCCCAAAGTGGCACAGTGAGGTAAAATGAGAGACCTGGACCTATGGTCAAGCTTCAAACTTAGATGTTAACACCCAGAACTATTTATTTCAGGTCTAACATCCAGAACTGCAGATTTTAGGTCTTGCTAGCTTTCCCTCCAGTTAGCACTGTCAAGAAGGGCCCTGGGGGAGCCCCAAGACCACCAGTGATGGCACCGTCTCTTGGGAAGCCCACCTGCCCCAGGGCCCACAAGGCTGAAAGGAAAAGGTCTGTTCTCAAACCAGTGTTCAAAGAGTTTTCCACCTGCCTGAGTTTTCCACTGGCACTGAGTATCAACCTACCTTCTGCCCAGGCTGAAAAGCCACCTGCTGGAGGCCTGGGACGCCAGGAGCTTTGAGGACGTCCTTGGGTTGCTCCTGGCAGGAAGTGTCTTTAAAGGCAAGGAAGGGCTGTGGGACAGTCCTCTCCAGCAGCTCCACCTGAGGTTCCATGGGCTGGGTGGTCCCTGACGGCCCATCAGAAGCAGTTGGTCCCACCACCCGGGCTCCCAGGAGGGATCGCTTGCCAAGACGCCGGGACAGCACACTGGCCATGCTGCTGCCTTTCCTGGAGAGGGAACAAGAGCACAGAGTCCTTTACCTGTTATCTGGAGCAGCCCAGAAGCAGCATTCCCCTCAATATGGCACCATACACACAGTGAAGACCACTAAGTGTCAGTTACCTTGAATAAAACATCTTAAAGTTCACTTTTACAAAAGTAGCACTCATTCCTAGTAGGGCAATTAGAAAATAATAATTAACATAAAGAAACTCATAAAACTACCTCTCAGTAATAAGTTAACCTTCTGCTATATATAGTATTCCACAATTCTGTCATTTCTCTATACTATTATTTCTACCAAAAAATGAGATAATTGGTAAGCTGAGCTTTCACCTTACATATGTCTTCTAAGATTTATTTGAATATAAAATATTATTCTATAAAAAATATCTTTTAAAGACACACAGAATTTTTTTACGTGGATGCATCCTTGCTAATTTAACAAATCCCTTACAATTACACCTTAAAATGGTATCCAATGTTTTGCTGCTCAAACTGCTCTGCGTGCAGTGAGCATTCTTTGAGCTAAATCTGAGTTCTCACATTCATCAATAACCACTCCCTTAGCTTAAATTCCTGGATAAACTATTGCTAGGTCAAAGCATTTGTCTGACACATGCAGATTCTTTAGCTACAAGATCAGCTGTCTTCAAAGCTGCAAAGAACCACAGATAAAAACATGTCACTCACTTCGCTTTACACTTGAGGAAGCTGAAGCTGAGAGGTTAACTGTTTGTGGTGACAAAGGTACTAGGTGCCAGAACCTAGGTAAGACTCACTCTCCCACACTAATTCCCAGACTCTCATCACTGTCCTACAAGGACCTCTGGTGGCCTAGTGGTAAAGAACTACACTGCCAACACAAAGGCACAAAGTTTGAATCCACTAGCCAACCTCAGAAGATGGGAAATATTATTCCATATGATTTGCTGCCTCTGAAAACCCACTATATTCACTTCTGACACAATAGCACAGAACAATTTACGCTGTCTTAAAGGTGCCTACATATCACTTACAATGTTGCCTAGCTTTTGGACCCCTGATGCATTCAGGTGTCTTAAAAACTAAAGGACCATAGTAGAGCTGTTTATTCTTCCTAACATCTTATTTTCCCCTCAAATAAAACAAGCTCATCCTTCAACTGGCACCATGAGGGGACATTTCAGTGTTGACCCTGACCCAAGGCTAAAACACTGTTTAAAACAGCCTATGCCATTTTGGCAACTTCTCAGGATTCTAAGTTCTCCTTCCCATTTACCACAGGGCAATTCCTGAAAGCAGGAAGACGCGCAGCACTAGCCTCAACCATTTCATAGAAAAGAAGAGCTGCCAAAGAGATTTTCTTAAAAAAAAAAACCAAAACACCTTGGTGTCATGCTTCATTACTCAAAATTTGCATGCCTGCAGAAGGACTCCAACACAGGGCATATCGCAAGCCACAGAAAAGGGCAGAGGCCTCTGAAGCCACTTGGCCACTCCAGCCTTCAAGCACTTCTACCATTCCAGAAAAGAGGAGCTCTGTATTCTAGGCCCTCTTGTGAATAAGGCTCTACAACTTCCCTCAATAATCCAGATGGGCCAACAGCCTTCCTACTAGGAAATGCCTGCTCTAACCCACATCCTCCCTCTAAGTTGAGAGTTTGGGGGGTGGCGGGGGGTGGGGGGGTGGACTACATTAGCTCTCAGAGGCCGCCTGCTCAGCCCCTGCTCAGTTTTGAGTCCCTTGAGCTTTCAGAGCCTGTTTCCTCCTAGATGAATCAGAATGCTAATTATCAGCTACCAAAGCCTCAAGGGATCAAGTGACAACACTGCTGCAGAAGCGCTTCACAAACTGCAAAGCAACCCTGACAGGACAAAGTCGCATCGAGCTCTAGCCAAGAGTAGAAAGGCCTCATCTGGGCACAAGCATCTACATAATTCTGCATTAAATTTAATGTTCAGAAAATTGACAAACTTTCAGCAAGAAGGACAAAGAAAGAGAGAGAAGATACAAATAATCAGAACAAGAAACAAAAGTTTTGACCTGACAGACCTGAAACAGGATATCAGAATACTCTGAACAACTAACTGTAGTCCAATAAATGTGGTAAGAGATAAAATGAACAAATTCTCGAACCATATAACTTACCTAAATTGATTCAAGAGAAAGAAGAAAATCTCAACAGACTCATAAAAACGAAAAGATTGAATCACTGACCAGAAAGACACCTCCCTACAAAAGGAGCCCCTCGGCCAGACAGATAGAGCTTCACCAGGGAAATCAGCCAGACTTACCTTTCAGATTCTTAAAAAGATTACATCTTTCCAAGAAGAGCAGATCCCCCTCCTCCCGCCTTTAGGTAATATTTTCTAAGCCCCAGGTCATTTGGATGGCTCATCTCTGAACCCTTATTTCTCTGTGTGTGAACATATTACACTTGCACTTAACACTTAAAAGAGACTAGACTATTTTACCAATCTCTCTCAGGTGATTTATAGCCATTCTCTCACTTAGGAAGTACTATCGTCAAAGTACTATAGTTCTTTTCCCTATTCCTCCCTCCCCCCCCCTTACACACACACACACACACATCTTATCATAACCTAAAAACACCAAAGACCCAGAAAGATCAAAGCTGTTAAGTAAGAAATGGTCAGGATCAGGATTCCAGGATTCCTTAACTTCAACGTCCATAGTTCTTTTTTGTTGCTGTTGTTGTTGTGTACCGGAGAGTCAGATCTGACGGGCATAGGAAGAGACTGTCCCTCCTTCTCCAGCACAGAATCTGGTGGATTTGAACCACATGCCTTCAGGATTGCAGTGCAGCTTCTTGCTACTAGGCCACCAGAGCTCCCTCCATCCATAGTTTTTACCACTTGCACCATGTGCTCCTCTTCTCTTCCCAGAAGGCCCTGGCTCACACTGTGGCCTATGACCTAGGGCTTCCATGTCCCTAATTCTTATTTTCTTTGGCGCCAACGACTTTTATCTCCATCACAAGATACTATTCAATCTCCAAAGAGTCAGGCTTTCTGCTTACAACCACCAGATACAAACTCTTAACTGGTCACCCTTCCTGCCCACTAGCTGTGCTTCTCTCAGCTTCCTTCTCACAAGCTCCCCACTGAGAACTGACCTCCATTCATTCACACACAGTTCCGAACTCTGCAGGTCCTTGCCCACAAGCCTGATTCCTTTGCTGCTGCACTGGGACTCATGCTCCCACCCTGCTGGTGGAAGCAGGAGGCACATTCCCAATCACTGTCCGTCCAAATTCTCAGCTCCCTCCTATTCATTTTTGCTGTTCCTCAAGGGCCTAGTATGTACAACTCCAAGGTCAGGTGTTATGGCAGGCTTAGAACACTAGCGTCTTCACGTACATCAGTATCAATGCTGTTTCCCTATCCAGAATGCCTGCCCAGGCTAATTCCACACAGTCTATTAACCTTAACATTTAAAGAGACTGCTCCAACCACATTCCCACATACACACACCCATTCCTCTTCCCTGCCCACATTTACAGAAGAAAATACCTGTCACCAAAGCTATTGGTTCAAACTTTCTTGGCACTGTTCTATAAACTTTCTTTACTTTTTACCCTCATTTAAAAGTACCTCAGGGCCGTAATGAAGGGTTACATAATGCGGGGAAGCCCACCAGACATGGGACTTGAGGACCATAGTCTCAGGAGACATCAGGTCAACTGGCATATCCAAAATCAGTGTTCTACATCCTACTTTGGGACGTAGCAATTAGGGTCTTAAAAGCAGGTGTACAACTATTGGTGTCTTGCTGTCCAGAGCAAAGAAAAGTGAAGAAAATCAAAGACATATGGCATCAATTAGTCCAAAGGCTAACGGACCACACAAACTTTAGCCTCTACAACCCTGAGACCAGAAGACTAAATGGTGCTGTTACTACTACAAAATGCTCAGAAAGAACAACTCCTAGAGAGAATGGCAGAAAAATGTTGAGCAAAACTCCAAAATCACAAAAAGACCAGGTTTATTACTTCAACAGAGGCTGTGAAACCCCAAGATTTTGGCCTTTACTTAATTTTCCAGCTGGAACTGAGCTCAGGCTGCACTTTCTGCCTGAAAATAGGCCGTCCTCTAAGGTGACAAAAAACATAAGGGAAATACACACTCCTTGGAGCAATCAATTATATATGATCAAAAGGGGGTCATTCATCCAGGGGTAAAGCTCAGAAATCAAGAAAGGCGGCCAAATGCGAACGGTAAGCACAGGACAGAAGTGAGAGGAGTCCTGTTACATTGTAAGATTCACAGTCAATATCTTGAACAAAATATTTAAATGGACAACTAATATGCTCTGCAAACTTTCATCCAAATCATAATGAAAATGCAATGTTGGGTTTTCTCTAAAAAAAAAATCAAAGCAAACACCTCGGGGTTTTGTTTGGGTCCCTCTCACATTATCTTCATATGAACCTAACTAACCTTGGCTTCTTTCCTCACCATTCCAGCAGGCCATGCTAGACAACATCTGCACAATAACGTAAAGTGAATGGCAAAAGTAACCGTAAAAGCAGTAATAAAGTTGGAAATGTTAAGGAAAAGATTTTGGGTTGTTTTCACAAGTATGTTATTCAAGCTTCAAGGGCTGGAATTGGATAAACCGGGTCATTTCCACCACGAATTCCCTAGAAAGCAAAGTTAGCCTCAGCATTCACACAGGTGTCTGAGGATTTGACATTTGGTAGCATATCAAAAAATTTTACTAAAACAATAAGAAAAATGTAAGGAGGAAATTCTTTACCACTACAAAAAAATTGTACAGGGGAGGTAAATTGGTTTTCAAAACTCAGTCACCTACCTTCGTCCTTGAAGTCTTAGGCCAGAAACAAATGCCTCTAACAGTTTGATTTTCTTCAACCCAGAAGAACAAAAAGGGAGCTCTAGTGGTGAGCTATGCTACTAACCCAAGGCTATGTGTCTCTGGTGGTCTGAAAGCAGCTCCAAGGGAGTAAGAGATGGGCCCTCTCCTTTCAGTAAGATTTACAGTCAAGGAAACCCGATAGCAACGCTTGATTACGACGAGCTCAAAGTTTCAGAAGAGCAAGAGGTGAAGCCGCAGTGCCACTGGGAGACGTAAGGGGGCAGCATCAATTCAGCGAAAGAGAGGCCCTTTCCTTGACAAACACAGGGTCGCCACCCCCACTTTCCACAACAGGAAGTTTGGGGTTTCTACCACTGAAAATGAAGAAAGGGTAGTATTTCCAAAATTCCTGGGCCTCCAATCTTTATAGACAGAGCTAGGAAAATGTTGGGCCAATAACACAAAAAATGCTTTTGTAAACCTCTTCTTTTTAAAGAATCCTTTTTCTTTATCGTTTCAAAATTTGCTGGACTGACATAAAATTTGCCCACTTCTGCCTTGTTTCAGTTTGCATTTGCCCTGTGCTCCAGGTTTTCTCCTTAAACTGGCCCAAATTCTACATGAAATGCATTTACTCATTTATAATATTTACAGTATTCTTGAATTACCAGGTTTAAAAATAAAAGAGATGTCTTTATTAGGTGCTTAATAAGTACTTCTTTTTACAGTATTATCTAATTGAATCTTTAGAACAGTCTGAGATGAGCAAATCTTCTCAATTTTTGATAAAGAGGAGTCCAGGCTACAGAGAGGTGAGATTTCAGAGGCCACTCAACTAGGCAGTGGCAGTCCTGGGATTTTAATTCTCCGCTACTTGGTACTATTGTCTGAATTGACACTTTGTTACCTGCCATCGAGTTGCCTTAAAGTCATAACTTATGTACAATAGCTCTGAACTATGCCCTACCCTAAGCCAGTCTGTCTCTGACACATCTATCCCCCATTGTCCCAGTTACTGTGTCAATCCATCTCATCCGGGTTCTTCCTCTCCTGTACTGTCCCTCCACCCTTCCAAGCATGATGTCCTCCAAGGAGTGGTCCCTCCTGGCCTACATGCTCAAAGAATGTGAGATGGAGCTTCAAAATCCTTGTCTCCAAAAAGAAGCTTGGTTTTTCTCTGTCCAAGGCAAATCTGTTCATTCTCTTGGCAGTCCATGGTATGCTCAGTATTCTTCTCCAGCACCACAACTCAAAGGCATCAATTCTATCATCCCTAGTCACTGCCAGCTGTCTGATGCACAGTAAGTAATTTCAAAGACCATGGCCTGAATCAGGCATCCCTTAGTCTCTAGACTGATATCATTGCTCTTTAGCTCTTTGGAGAGGTCCCTGACAGTAGATTTCCCCAACACAATTTGTCTTTTGAGTTCCTAACTGCTGGTGCCAAGTGTGTTAATTGTGGAACCAAGCAAGCCAAAATTGTTAACAGCCTCAATCTCCGTCATCATGGAGCTGCCAACTGGCCCAGTGGTAACAATCTTTGTCTTCTTGATTTCTTCTTGGTTTGAGCTTCACATACTATTGAAGACTACAGTCCTTGACTTTCTGCAGCAAGTGCTTCTTCGTCTTTCTCAGTTTCAGCCAGTAAGGTTGTGTCACCTGCAGGTTGTTGATGAGTCTTCCTCCAATCCTAATGCCAAGTTCCTCAGCATAAGGTCTTCTCAAAATAAAATGCTTGATTAAGTGGTATTCTAGGGAAGTCTTGTGGCCCAAGTGGTAAGGAATTGCTCTGCCAACCCAAAGGCAGACAGAATCCACCAGAGGCTCCATAGGAGAAAGATGGGCAATCTTCTTCGATGTTATTTACAGCCTCTGAAAACATTCAGGAAGGACAGCTATGAGTTGGCTGTAGTACTTTACCTACATAGTACCTTTTCCCTATGTCAATGAAGCTTGGTAGGGGGAAAAAAAGGTTTCAAATGCTGTCTTTTCCTTTTTCTCATGAACTTTGTTTCCTTAAAAAAAAAAAACTACCTCCTGCAAAATAAAGGTCACCTACAACCTACAAAATAAAGGTCAATGCCTCAGTCTGACCTGGTCACACTGTCCAACTCACTGTTAATCATTTAGTGGTCTGGGAATACTTTTACGCACACATTACCTTCTAAGAGGGCACAGAGATAATGGAATGAATCCAAAAAGCTACATAAAACTTGAGCTAAATTTTTACTGGAGATTTGACAGCATGGATACAGAAAACCTGATGACCTATGGAAAAAATTTCAGCAAGACAATATCACTAGGTGATACCCAATGCCTCTTCTGTGTTAAACAGCAACTCATAATATTAAAGACAAACCTAATTCTTAAACTTATTGAGGACTTCATTTTTTTTAAAGTGCCCCGGTGGTGCAGTGACAAAGTTACTTATCTGTAAACCAAAACATTGCAGGTTCTGATGCACTAGCAGCTGCCCAAGAGAAAAGTCCTGACTATTTATTCCTTTATTATTCTTTAAAGACGACAGCTCAGAAACCCAATGGGATAGTTGTGCTCCCACATGGGTCACTATGAGTCAGAGTTGGCTGGAGCCGCATGACAACAAGTGCCATTAGCTTTACAGGTGACACAGTCAACTAAAGGTGTTCATGAATTCAAAAGTGAAGCCAAGCACTTAACAAAGCTCTCCCAAGAAGGTGGACAGAGAAGTAAAGCTAATTTGGGGCATTCAAGTGACTACAGCTTTACATGGGCTCAATATCATCTCATAGAAACCAAACCACCCAAACTTGTTCCATCAAGTCAACGACAACTGAAAGCGATTCCATGTGTTACTGAACAGAACTGTTCCACAGGATTTCCCTGGTTGAAATTCTCATGAAAGATCACCGGCCTTTCTTCCACAGCACCAACGAGTGGGATCAAACTACAAACCTGTCAATTAGTGGTCAAATGCAAACCATTTATGCACCCTGGGGAGTGCCATCTTCACATCTCCTTAATCATAGTCTCAATTCCAGCAAATTATACTAAGGTGTCCTGTCTTACTATACTTCTACCATTTTAACTGCTGGCTGATGTTGTGTACCATCAAGTCAATTCCAGCTGAGTGATCTTATACAAGGGATGATCTGCCCTGACAAGGCACTTAACCTCTAACAGGTTTCCTTATTATCACCTCCTTCAAACCTCTTATCCTTGGTCTTATCTTCTGTTGGATTTTTTCCTTCCTTGAGAGCTACCCATACTCAAACTCATTGCCATCAAGTGACAACTGAATCATTGCTGATCTTCCAGTGGATTTTCAGAGGCTGTAAATATCATGAGGAAAATGCCCATCTTTCTCCCACAGAACTAACAGTGAATTTATACTGCCAGAGAGATAACACCTTTGGGATAATATGGACTACACCACCAGAGCTCCCTTGGGAACTACCAATGCCCATATAAACCACCCTAACCTGCCATTGAGTGCTGGAGCAAAGAAAAATAAAAAAACATCTAATTCAGGGTAACAGTATTTCAGCATGGAGCCACCAAATTCCACTTCATAATTTTCACTCTCAATTTGAAACTCACATTGAAGTGGTTTAGGTTGGTGCAGAGTTTTAGGGGATCCTGAGCTCTCTTGTGCTGTTCATCCCTCCTATGATCACCTATCAGAGAGGTTGGCTGCCCCAGAATATGTATTTTGGTCAATGTTCAAAAGGGGTTATCCTTTTCGGGGCTCTGCAAACATTATTCCAATGTGCTAATAGCCCTTAAAGAAGACATCTGCCATCAGTTAAATAACTGGAACACAGAAGAGTGAAACAAACCCTCTCTGTGATTCTGTGTTGCAAACTGCCATTCGCCATGTGACTGCGGCTGGACCACATGTCTCAGCACACGCAGGCATGCATACGCACGTGCACACACACTGGCCGCTCTCCCCTGCCCCCGAGGGATGCCGCAGCAGACCATGCACACAGACCCACGGGCATTTCTAGAACATGGGTCATAAGTCAAAGTCATTAATTACACAACCAACAAGGGTTTTGTGTTTTGGGTTGTGTTTTTTTTAAGTTAAGGAAGTTACAGATTGGAATAAGAGTCCCTGCTAGAGCTTAGCTGCAGACCACCTCTCTAATGAATGAACTAGGAATCAAGGTGAGGGCCTCAATCCTCCACCAAGAGGTGCAGGTTCTCTGCTGAATCTCACTCTTCCATGGATCTTGTGATTCCCAGTAGGTCCTACTGCACAGAGACACCATTTTCTTTTTTTTTCTTGCTTTTTGGTCAACAATTTTGCATGTCATGGTTAATGCTTTTTTCAGCAAGTTGCTAATTTTTTTTTCTTTAAAATCCCTAAAGTTGTTAAGTACCATCGAGTCAAAACCACCTCATAGCTGACCCTCTTGCAGCAGGTTTTCAAAGTTGGTGAACTACACTGTCTACAACAACAAAAAATATACATTAACTTTTTATTTCAGTGTGATACACTAAGTTCATCCAAAAGGCAAAAATATTTGCAGCTAATTCTCTCTCTGACAACAAAACTCAATCAAACTCAAACTCGTTGCTATTAAGTCAGAAGAGATTCGTGGCTGACCATCCACTGGGTTTCCGAGACTGTAAAGCGCAAGGGAGGAGGACTGTTTAAGTCTCCACAGAGCCACCAGAGTGGCACGGCCTTTGGAGTCAGCAGCACAAATCCCTATGGACAAATCCGACTCCACCTGTGCTCACGAGCCAACAGAATCCCAGCAATTCATTTTCAGACACTCTAAGCCAGAGAGGATCTTCACTGAAAGAGGCCCTGCACACTTGCAAGCATACCAACAACTCTATGCAAATGTGATCCTAACAGCTGCAATTCATGTGGACCTAAGAAGGCCTGGCTTCCCCATGGTTAAGCACCAGGTTGCCACCCAAAAGGTCGGCAGTTTAAAACCCACCAGCGGCTCTGCAGAAGAAGATATGGTGTGATGATCTGCTCCTACTATGTTTACAGCCCCTGAAACTCTATGGGGAAGTTCTACTCTGTCACATAGCATTGCTGTGAGTCCAAATCATAATGTGATAATCTGCGCCCGTGAAGATTAAAGCCTAGGAAACCGTATGAGGCAGTTCTGTTGTCAAAAGGGGTCACTATGAGTTGGAGACAAGTCGATGGCACCCAACGACAACAATGTGTGAACTGTGGGGGAGCACACTGTCTTACCCCGTCACCACTACCCAATGCTCCCCAAGACTGGGCTCTCAAGTCTTTTTCTGGGATTCTTCTCCAAAGGGGAAAAAAACCACCCTATTTTAAAACCCTTCACTTGAGTACACACTGACCTTTTTCTTCCCAGAAGACTCTGCTTCTGCCCAGTCTGACTTTGGATTAAAAAAAAAAAGCCACTGAGAACACAAACTTCTGAGTTACAACTTAGAAATCTCTGAAGTTATTTATCAGACACTGCTCTGTGCTATGGCTGGGGAAGTAAAAAAAGTCTTGTGTGTTTTCAGATTTTCA